TTAAGAAAAACACCAACTTCTCAGTTGTTCTTTTTCACTGTAGGGAGTGACAATCAAGATGGGACAGAAAAGGAGATCAGATCTCTATGAGAGATTATTTAAAGATAATGCTGAAGAAGTCTGGCCCACCAGTCGACTAATGGCATTTCATTTTTCTAATTTTTAAATTTTATTTATTTATTTATTTGAAAGAGTGAGAGCAGAGGGAGGGACAAAGGAAGAGGGAGAAGCAAACTCCCTATTGATCAGGGAACCAGATGTGGGGCTCCATCCCAGGACCCCAGAATCATGACCTGAGCTGAAGGTAGACACTTAACTGACTGGGCCATCCGGGTGCCCCTTGTGGCATTTTTAAAAAAATGGATTAGCATTATGAAGCCAGGAAAGCTTCAATACTGAAAGAGCCTAATACGTGTTCTGAAAATACTTTGGTCTTGTTTTACGGTAGGTAAAATTATTTTGCTTATTACTTTCCAAATAGAAGACAAATATAATGACCAGCAGGGAAGGCTGTACTTTTGAAAACAGATTATGAGATATTGTTGGATGTATTTGGAACGTATGACCTAGAACAGCCTGAGAACACTAATGGTGAAAAACCATTTGTGAGGTTGAAAGTCAATTTAGTAGATTATGCATGCAATTAAAAAAAAAATATCAGAGGTGCCCTGAAGTCAAGATACCACTGCATGAAATGCTTATTTCAGATGTGCAGATATGTACATATACATACGTCTGTATTGGGTTACATTATATACTTGGGCACATGGCCAAAAAAGTATGAAAACCACTGGTCTAGGGGCACCTGGGTGGCTCAGGTGGCTCAGTGATTGAGCATCTGCCTTTGGGTCTGCCTTTGGCTCAGGTCATGATCCTGGGATTGAATCCTGCATCAGGCTCCCCATAGGGAGCCTGCTTCTCCCTCTGCCTATGTCTCTGCCTCTCTCTGTGTGTCTCTCATTAATAAATAAAATCTTTAAAAAGAAAAGAAAAGAAAATCACTGGTCTAAATATTTGAAGAAGGTGTAAACTTCATAATGAAACAATAGCAAGGCTCAAATGCAAAGTTCAAACATGGAAATGTGGAAAAATATCAACAGATAGGTTTGTACCTCTTAGTTTCATGCCTGTATGGGCTAAAGTTTCAAAATATAAAGAACAAATTACCACTTAGAATAGATTCTTTCTCTCCCTTAGGATATGTGAACCCTGGAAGTACAACTTCTTTTTTTCAATTTACAATGATCACCAGTTGAAAGTTGTACACTAGATCCTCAAGATAATGAAGATTTGAAAATTGTCTGAAATCTACTTTAACAGTTGTTTATTTAATAGTTAATCTGGAGGGCGTAAAAATGAAGAACTACATAGTCATCTTTGAAAACATTTTGAATACATACTCATTTTGTAAGTCTGGTTTTTCTCATCTTGAATCTTTCTTACCTCTCACAGAAAAAGGGAATCTAGGGAATCTATGTGGTTGCCAACTTTGGACAAGATGGATGGTCTGTAACTTAGAAAATCTTGCAAGGAAATGAATAGTTTAGAAACTGTTATTTATTGACATCTTTCTCTTTCCTGTTGTAAATGTAAAGATTTCTTCTATGAGGAGCCTGACAAAAGAGTGGTTATAAGAATCCTAATTTTAGGGACGCCTGGGTGGCTCAGCAGTTAAGCATCTGCCTTTGGTTCAGGGCGTGATCCTGGAGTCCTAGAATCGAGTCCCACATTAGGCTCTCTGCAGTGAGCCTACTTCTCCCTCTGCCTGTGTCTCTGGCTCTCTCTCTCTCTCTCTGTGTGTGTGTTTCTCATGAATAAATAAATAAAATCTTTAAAAAAAAAAAAAGGAATACTAATTTTAAAAATGTTTCTTTACCCAAATCAATTAAATCAGTTGCTATAGGCAAGAAAGCCAATGGGGGAGAATTATGTCTTTCTGGGTTGCAACTCCAGAGTTAAAGCTTAGTAAGGGTTGGGTTTTCTCTCTGAATCTTTGAATCACTAGGTAACTTATTCCACAGAAATAAAATCACTCTAGTATCCAAGGACATTTAGATTGAGGTTTTTATCACTGTACTTTCTGTATTATTAAAAAAGGGGGGAAGATAAACTAATGCCCATCAATTAAAAGATGGATAAATGATACATGTTATAGCACATATTGTAATATTCTATAGCCATGATTTAAAAAAAGTTATAATCACTGACTGGGTGGGATTTCCCCAAGATATCATGAGAGAGAAAAATCAGTTTGTTAAAATTAGTTAATTAAATTAAATATTAGTATATTAAAAAATATAAAGAATGGAACGCCTGGGTGGCTTAGCAGTTAAGTGGTGCCTTCAGCCCAGGGTTTGATCCTGGAGACCTGGGATGGAGTCCCACATCGGGCTTCCTGCATGGAGCCTGCTTCTCTCTCTGCCTCTATGTCTCTGCCTCTCTCTGTGTCTCTCATTAATAAATAAATAAATTCTTTAAAAAATATATATATATATATAAAGAATATATTATATCTAAAGAATGTATTATACCTAAATGCATCTTAAGAATGTATTTTTTTAAAGATTTTATTTTTTATTTATTTATTCATGATAGTCACAGAGAGAGAGAGAGAGAGAGGCAGAGACACAGGCAGAGGGAGAAGCAGGCTCTACGCAGGGAGCCTGATACGGGACTCGATCCTGGGACTCCAGGATCATGCCGAAGGCAGGCGCCAAACTGCTGAGCCACCCAGGGATACCCTCCAATGGTTATTTTCCACAGAAATAGAACAAACAACCCCAAAATTTGTATGACAAAAGACGCCAAAGCAATCCTGAGAAAGAACAAACTAGAGGCATCATACTCCTGTTATTTCAAACTATATTATAACACAACAGTAAGTAAAACAGTATGGTATTGGGATAAAAACAGACACATAGATCTATTCTAGAGAACAGAGCCCAGAAATAAACCCATGCTTATATGGTCAATTCATTTACAACAAAGGAACAAGAATATGTACTGGGAAAAAAGTCTCCTCAACAAACGGTGCTGGGAAAACTGGTCAGCCACATGCAAAAGTATGAAATTGAACCGCTTTCTCAGACCATACACAAAAATTAACTCAAAATGGATTAAAGACTTGAACATAAGACTAAAACCAGGGACGCCTGGGTGGCTCAGTGGTTTAGTGCCTGCCTTCGGCCCAGGGCGTGATCCTGGAGACCCGGTATCGAGTCCCACATCGGACTCCCTGCATGGAGCCTGCTTCTCCCTCTGCCTGTGTCTCTGCTTCTCTCTCTCTCTGTCTCTCATGAATAAATAAATAAAATCTTAAAAAAAAAAAAAAAGACTAAAACCATAAAACTCCTAGAAGAAAACACAGGCAATAAGCTCCTTGACATGGGTCTTGGCAATAATTTTTTTAATCTGACACCAAAAGATAAAGCAACAAAAGCAAGAATAAAATGTGGACCTGCATGAAACTAAAAAGCTTTTGCACAGCAAAGTAAACCTTCAACAAAATACAAAGGCAACCTACTGAATGGAAGAAAATAATTGTAAATCATAAGCTGATAAGGGGCTAAAATACAAAATATATGAATAACTCCTATAACTCAATAGCAAAAAAGCCCCAAACAATTCAATTAGAAAATGGGCGGAAGATCTGAATAGACATTTTTCAAAAAAAGACATACATATGGCCAACAGACATGAAAAGATATTCAACATCACTCATAATCAGGGAAATGCAAAATCAAAACCATAATGAGATACCATCTCATACTTGTTACAATGGCCAGTATCAAAAAGATGCAAGAGAAAAGGTGTTGGCCAGGATGCAGAGTAAAGGGAATCCTCACACACTGTTGGTGGGAATGGAAATTTGTGCAACCATTACAGAAAACAGTATGGAGTTTCTCAAAAAATTTTAAAAAAGAACTATCATATGATCTAGTAATCCCACTTCTCAGTACTTATCTGAAGAAAATGAAAACACTAATTTGAAAAGATATACATACCCCATGTTCATTGCAGCATTATTTACTTCATTATAGTGAAGATGGAAACAACCTAAGTGTCCATCAATAGATGAATGGAGATAGATAGAGAGAGAGAGAGAGAGAGAGAGAGAGAGAGATGGTGTAGTATTACTTGGCCACAAGACAAAATGAAATCATGCCATTTGCAACAACATGGATAGACTTCGAGGGCATTATGCTAAGTGAAACAAGTCAGAGAAAGACAAACACAGTATGATCTCTTTTATATGTAGGTTAAAATACAACAATAAGATACCCAGCTTACAGATACAGAGAACAGACTGATGGTTTCAAGAGGAGAGGGTTAGGGGTGAGAAAAATAGTTGAACTGATAGTTTTGGTGTTCCCTTTTTTTTTTTTAAGTTTAAAGAAATTGAATAAGAATTTTAAGAAAACTGTAGCTAGGTCAAGGGACTCTTAAAGGTGATAGAGGATAAGAGGATGAAAAGAAAGGACAGAATGGAAAGATAAAGAGCTGGGTATTTGACTAAGGAAGTTAATAGAAGAGTATCTCAGTTGGAACTGCTGCATGGGAAGGACCAGTTATGATGCTGGCATTGATCACTTCTGATACTGACTTTAGTGACTGGCTACCTATACTCAAGGACACCTACACAATTAGAATTAGGACAGGCCTCCATCAGAAAACAGCATTCTAGAGCATCCTTCAACTGTGCAGATTTATTCTATGCCTACTAGCTGTGCCAGAGGACTGAAGACAGTGAGGACCGTGCATCTATTAATGAATTCATTCATTGAAGGCAAAGAGAAAAAAAGCAAGTAACCTGAAGCAGAAGCATCATCATGATGGGTCTGATGGGCAGCAATGGGGCACTGCAGAACTGAATGAATGGATGGAAATAAACAATTACAGGTAAATATGGAAAGCCAGAGGAGGTTGAGGGGACAGACACCCTAAGGCCTGACATGTTCTGACTCACATCTTATGAGAAGTTACCATGGGACAGTTCTTACCTATATATCCATCTCTCTGGGTTTCTGTCTCCATCATCAAAAGCTTTTCTTCCCTCTCCAGTTGGAATATAAGCTCTGGTTTGTAGAACTGATTCCCTGTAGAAAAGCAAGGAGAGCAAAAGTTTTAAGTTTTGATGAAGTCCAATTGATCCTTTTTTTTTTTTTTTTTTCCTTTTCTGAATCATGCTGTTGGTGCCTAAGAACTGTTTGCCTAACCCATGGTCATGAAGATCTTCTTCTGTTTCCTTTTAGAAGTTTCACACTTTTCCATCTTCCATTAAGTCTATTATCCACTTAAGAGTCAATTTCTTAGTGAGATGTGAGGCATGGGTATAGATTCCTGCATACAAAAGTCCAACGTTTTAGCACCCTCTGTTGAAAAGACTATAGTTTCTCCATTAAATTGCTGTGGCACCTGTAATACATCTAAAATAGTTTCATGATGGCTTCTTCCATATCACTACGATGAGCAAATCCACTAAAAATTGTTCAGGATTGCAATTTGTTTCTTCATCCCCCTCCCACTATACCTAACACTTAGAGGATATAGTTACATGCTGTGTTCCTTAGCTATTTCCAGAGTTCTTTCTTTCTTTTCTTTCTTCAGGGTGGTTATGGTATTAGTTTCAAATATAACTAATTTAATTTGCTTCATTTTTCTTTTAGTTTTAGATTATCATACCTTTGCATTCTTACTTTTTTCTTTTTTTTCTTTCAAGATTTTGTTTAAATTCTAGTTAGCTAACATATGGTGTAGTATTAGCTTCAGGTGTAGAATTTAGTGATTCATCAGATGCATATAACACTCAGTGCTCATTACAAGTATCCTCCTTAATGCCCATCACTCATTTACCCATCTTACCTTTTTCTTCTTTAGTTTTTAAAATGCACTGAGCTAATGTATTTTCAAAAAGTCCCAACCAGGCAGAAAAGCATACTGAAAGGAGTGTGACACATCTTCCACACTCCTACCTTACCACTGTATGAGACTAACTTCATGAATTTCTGATTAATCCTTCTTGGGTTTCTTCTTATAAAGACAAGCAGATGTATGTAGGTTTCCTCATTTCCCCTTCTTACTTACATGAATTGTAATATACTATTAATGCTCTTTTGCACTTTGCTGTCTTTAGGGAAAATTCCTAGAAGAATTGCTGGGAACACTGCTGGATAATTGTCAAATTCCCCTCCTTCAGGACTGTTTTGTTTTGCTTTCCTACTTTCAGTGCATGAGAGTGCTTTATTTCCCACAGCTATGCCCAAAAAAGTACAGTGTTAAGTGTTTGAATTTTTGGTAATCTCATGTGGGAGAAATGGTATTTCAGTATAATTTTACTTAACATCTCCCGTATGTTTAATAAAATTGAACATCTACTCACATGTATGTAAGTATATGTTTGTGAATATATGCACACATACATATTCTTACCTACCTGCTCTATCCCCGAGACCAAGAAACAAAGCCACTACAGTGGCAGTGACAATATCTAGCATTCAGACCTTGTTGTTAAATACCATTCTCCAAGAGATGGATGATTCCAGAGCTGGGATATAAAGTGAAATATGAACACACAACAGCACTTATGCCATAAAGTAAGGAAGTGCTCAAAAAAGTGGTGGGGGCATATTACAAAAGGTTGAATTTGGAACAATTTGAGCACCAAAACAATTATGGCAATATTATAAACCATTTTAAAAAAAGAATTCACAAGTCTCTATAAATAAGTAACTAAAAGATTAAAGTGTGGGGGGCTCTTGCTTACTGTAGAATGCCAAGAGCTGACTGCTAACTGTGAAGGAGGTACTAAGTCAGAAAATCATTTTGTAACGATCATGGTAAAGACCAAATGGATAAGGGAAGAATCATCACTGGATGCGATATCTACACAGAAATATTTGTGTGGTCTTAAAAAATGTTGCCCTATGATTGCAAGAGAAACAAAGCAATAATTCTGTAGTGGAGAAATTGGACATCTTGACTGCATGATCAAAATTAGCACCACCAATGAGGAACAGATGGCAGACCTCTCTAGATGTCATATTCTCAAAAGGTCTATCAATGCAGAGTTCCAGCCAGAATGGATCATCTGAACCTAATTATAAGGAAGTATTAGGAATGCTACATGAAATATGGGGGTGGAAGAGGATAGAAATAACAGTATTTTTCTAAAAGGTCACTTTCATAAGAGACAAAGAAATTGCTGTGGAAATGTTCCAAATTAAAGGAAGCTAGAGACATGACAGCTACAGTAGACTGAAGACTAGGCCTTACTCTGGAGAAAGAAAAATATGCTTTTAGGAATATAACTGGCTCTACTGATAAAAGCAGAGCATAAATGAAAGACTGGATAAAAGTATTATATTTATACTGGGAATATGTAAGAGAATATTCCTATTTCTACAAAATATACCATTCAGTGAAGAATTAAGCTGCTCAAAGAGAGGTCTGGTCTTTGGCCTCAGCTCTTAGGAAGCGATCTCTAAGTCCTTGGGATTCTCTGTCCGGGAAGAGTGTCTTTCTCATGTGGAGGCTTTGGACTACATCAGATTGGTTACCAATGTGATTTATGGTGGGGCCTTTGGGCCACCTGCTATCAGCTTCATTTCCAGGGGGGCTGGAAACTAAGGTTAGCCACACAGGTATCCAACCATATCTACATGGCCAAACCACAATAAAAGTGCTGGACACCAAAGCTTGTGTGAGCCTCTCTTGTTGGCAATACTCCTTGTGTACTGTGACCCATCACTGCTGGGAAGAGTTAGCGCTGCCTATGACTCCTCTGGGAGAGACAATTAGAAGATGGTGCTGGAAATCCCCTGATGCTGCCCCAAGTGCCTCTTCTCCTGGCTGATTTTAACTTGTATCATTTTCATGTAATAAAGTGTAACCATGAGTATAACAGCTTTCAGTGCCTTCTGAGAAACCTCCTAGTGAGTTGTCTTGGGGACCCCTGAGCTTACTACAATTGGTGTTGGAGTAAGAGCAGTCTTGGGGACTCCCAAACTCTGCATATACATTGAAGTCTTTAGAGATAAGGGCCATGGTGTATGTAAATTACTCTCAAATGGTTCACAAAAAATATTAGGAATATACATATGTTTTCATATATATGCACAAATATATATGGAGAAAGAAAGAATGTGTATGTAAATAAAAATATTAATGGGGTAAAATGCTACTATAGGTGAATCCATGTAAAAGCTATTGAGGTGTTCTTATTCTTTACTTTTGCAAATATTTTGTAAGTTAAGTTATTTACAAATACACTGTTAATGCAAAAAACAAAATACCTCTGCAAAATCAAGTTAATAAAACAGTTATTGTTACTAGCACTCTAAAAAGAAAGCTGGAGCAACTCACTAAATTGACTTCCTGACAAGTGATAGGGCTGGACCACAATTTGCCCAGTTACATAGTTGGAAGGATAGAAACATCTTATCTGTGTTGTACAGGGATTATGAGGACTCTTATTTGCCCAAGCTCAGGGGATGATTTCAAGAGTCTTGGAGCTTAAACACCTCAGACATTGCAGGGGGCTGACATGCAATCACTAAGTGCTTGGTCCTCACCCACAGAGACCAGGTTCCTGAAATTCTCCAGCATCACATCTCGGTACAGCTTCCTCTGGGTGGAGTCCAGCAGCCCCAGCTCCTCTTCGCTGAAGACCACAGCCACATCCTTAAACATCACTGGCTCCTACAACACCAAGCACACACAGAATGCTTTTGAAAGAAAGGCAACACTAAGAAAGTGTCAAGGACGGGAAGCAGTCCTAGAATTTGGGAGACCCAATCAAAGTAGCTACTTTCTACTTGCCCTTCTATACCACTCATTCCATCTACCAAAAGGACTGCAAGAAAAGAAATCCTTGCACATTATTTTACTGCCAAACAAACAAACCAACAAATTGATAGCTGCTTGTTGTTAGTATTCCTAGAGGTAAGTTCCTGGAATTCTGCTGCTTCATGAGCTACTAATATTTTAAATTTTATTAAAAACGTCATTTGCAAAAAAAACAAAAAAACGTCATTTGCCCCCAGCAAAGCTTCAGATCTAGTAGTGTGTGATGGAGTCTCTGTTCTCTCTTTTACATACACACATACATTCCACTTATTAAATGCGCCAAACTTATAGGCTATTGATCACCCTTGCTGTTGAAGTATGTAGTTCATCCTCTATGCCCCATCCAGAGTGCACAGCGTTTACGGTGTTGTGTGGGCACAGCTCTAGAGCCTGACCACCTGTATTCACACTGGAATGCTCTGCCTCGTGCTAGCCAAGTGACCTTGGATAAGTTCTTCATTTTCTCCTCTGCACGCTGCTACCTATACCATAGGGTACTGATAATAACATGAGTGACTATAAGCAAAGCACTCTGGAGCAGTGCCTGGCACAGAGTCCCCAATAAATGTTAGCTATTATGATTATTATTGTGATCATGTCTGTCTTCCCACTACAGCGCTATATAGTAAGTCAATGATTTAGGATTATGATTAACTCACCCAAATAATGTTCACTTACTTAGTTTTAGATTATCTATCATAAATGATGTCACAACAAAAAATCCTTTCACACAGACCCTGGAGTATCTCCTTAAAATAAATTCTAAAAGTAGAAATGGTAATGCTAAATGACAACCTTTAGCGTTTTGAATTCGTGATAGGTGTTTCCTCCAAAAAAGATTTTTCCAGCTTATTCTTCTTCCAAGTATAAAGCCCTAAACCACTATACTCTGGCCAACACCAGATATGAATACTTAAAAAAAAAATCTCTGATAATCTCAGAAGTGAAAAAAGTTATTTAGAAAAATTTTCATAGTTGATTAGTAATGAAGATCATTCCCTTTTCATGTATTTGCTGGTCATTTCTTGTTCTTGTTGTATTCAAAATATTCATTTTGGAGACATTAAGTCCTTTCCTTCCAAATATGTTGCAAATATTTTTCATTCTATTTGGTCATTTGTCTCCTAAAAGGAGGGGGAAATGCAAATGTTTTCTTTTTTTAAAGAATTTTATTTATTCAAGAGAGACATGGAGAGAGAGGCAAAGACATAGGCAGAGGGAGAAGCAGACTCCCTGCGGGGAGCCTGATGTGGGACCAGGACCCTGGGATCACAACCTACACCAAAAGCAAATGCTCAACCACTGAGCCACCCAGGTACCCTGGGAAATATAAGTGTTTTGTATAAAGACCTGTCCAATGTTCTATTTGTTCTGGCTGGAGCTCCAAATGGCACAATCTCAGGCCTTGGTCTCTGAATGAAAACTCTGGTTTGGTTTTGGATTTTGTTTTGCTTCTCTTTACTCCAGTTAACCTCTTTCCTTATACTCTTTATCCAGAAGGGAAATGGAGTTGGCTAGACACTTGTCTGCTGTAGGAACTTGAGCAGGACTAAAACTTCCATGAACCTCTTACCTTCATGTTAACAGTGCAGATTATTCTAACTCCCCCTTGTAGCAGTGAATAAAGTGACAGATGGAAAGTGCTTGCATGTCCTATAGCATAACTACAATTTTTTTCATAACTACAATTTTTTAACAAAGGCCTGCATTGCTCTAATAAAAGAAATTAATACATGAAGGGTCAAACACACAGAAGTACAGAAACATACACAGATACACACAAAGAAAGCTTCAGGGAAAAAAAAATCTAGTTCTTTTTGTGTGAAAACATCCCACAATTTTTTTCTGAGTTCAGCTTCAGTAAGATCCTGTTACATAAAACCATCTTTTAGGTATTCTTTTTGTAAAGTACCTGAGGCATCATTTAGGAGAAAAAGGGGTTTTTTGTTTTTTTGTTTTGTTTTGTTTTTAGTTTTGAGTACCTACAACAAATTATTAGAATTCTCTCAGAATTGCTTTTTGTGGGTACCTGGGTGCTCAGTCAGTTGAGCATCCAACTCTTGGTTTGGGCTCAGGTCATGATCTCAGGGTTTTGGGATTGAGCCCCATGTCGGGGTCCACACTCAGCAGGGAGTCTGCTTGAGATATTCTCTCTTTCTCTCTCTCTCTCTCTCTCTCTCTCTCTCCTACCCACCCCCGCCCTCCACTCTTTCTCTCAAATAAATACATCTTTTTAAAAATTGCTTTTAAATAAAGGTTATAGGTAGTAAAAACTGATACTTCTGCATAAAACTGTGAGAGTCATCAAAAACAAAATTTGTAAATGGGGAATAGTTAAAGATGGAGGGGTACAGCAGCTCACTGAAATATTAGATGACAAAAATTAAGTGCTGTAATTTAAATGAAAAAAGTTCAAGATTATATCTATTATTGCATATAATAATGCATATAAAATGACTATGGAAAAATAAGAAATTCATAAGCACAGTAACATATGGACTTTTTCATTTTTTAAATTTTTTTTAAAGATTTTATATTTAAATAATCTTACACCCAAAGTGGGGCTTGAACTCATAACCCTGAGATCAAGTGACATGCTCCACTGACTGAGCCAGCCAGGCATCCCTATTTAAAAACTTTCAATGGGTATTATACTATATGTTGGCAAATTGAATTTAAATAAAATTTAAAAAAATAAATAAAAAATTTCTCTTCTCTTTTACATTATTTTTAGTAAAAATAAAATGACAGACAAAAACTGAAAGGAAAAAGCTTTTTAAAAAGAACAAAGAGAATGGCATATAAATGGCATTAAACATCTGCTATAATTCTTTATTCTTGGCAAGGAAGAGAAAGAAACGTATCCACCTGAGAAGTGAAATAAAACGTTCAGTGACAGAAGTAAAAATCCAGCTCACTGAGATCCCTGGGTGGCTCAGCAGTTTAGCACCTGCCTTCAGCCCAGGGTGTGATCCTGGGGTCATGGGATTGAGTCCCGCATCAGGCTCCCTGCGTGAAGCCTGCTTCTCCCTCTGCCTCTCTCTCTTTCTCTTGCTTTTTGTGGGTACCTGGGTGCTCAGTTAGTTGAGCATCCAACTCTTGGTTTGGGCTCAGGTCATGATCTCACGGTTTTGGGATTGAGCCCCATGTCGTGTCTCTCATGCATAAATAAATAAAATCTTAAAAAAAAAAAAATCCAGCTCACCTGGAACTTGATCATTTTCTCCTCCTTTTCCCAGGGAAAGGCCAAGACCTGAGAAAGCAAAACGAAGCAATAAGAAAGAAGCCATGAGAGAAAGTGAAATGTATTTTTATGCAAAATAGAAAAAAGTGTCCCTTGCCCGAGCAGATACTGCCACACACCCCTTGGCAGGCAGAGCATGAGCTGTATTCCAGCTACCAGGAGGTTATCCTGGCAGGGTGCCCACATGCATAGGACAGTCTGCAGTGATACTCAGCACTCCTCACATACCTCTCTGCTCCTAAGAACTCACTGACACTGGAAAATGTGGAAACGGAAAGGCAGTGGAATGTACTGGTTAAAAGTGGACTCTGGGCATAGAATTCAGTTTCAAAACCTGGCACTGTTGTGTACTGGCTGTACATTTGCTCTATATTGGCATTGCTACAGAAAACATATGTAATATGCATAGGACATATAATATATAAGGTAGCACACAAAATACATAATATATACATATATTTAACCATGGTTAATTTAGTAACCTCTCTAGACTTCATTTGTGTAATCTGAAGCATTAGGATCATAATACAGCCATCTGTCCCCATATTCTTCTTGAAGCCAGAAGAGGCTCAGATAGCACATTCCTCTTCCCACAGGGATATAATGAAAGATTAAAGAAGCCAGTGACGCCACTATATTTCTCATATCTATGGAAAGCACTGGCTCAGTGCTTGATGCTTGCGAGGACTTGGGGACCAGGAGTTGAATTTCTTTTTTCTTTTTTTTCGGAGTTGAATTTCTTGGGCAAGATTATTTATTGTTTTCAATAGGTATTTACTGCGATTTACTTTTTTCAAGCAGCTTCAAGATCATTTGTGGAAGAGAAAGAACTCAAAAAAAGGGCTGGCCGTAGGCTGTGAATAAGATTGAACCTTTTCATACTATCTGACAGGTTTTCTGCCCCTCCAGTAGGGTACCCATCTGCTTCCAGGTCCCTGCCCACATATACCACAGCTGAAGAATCCACAGAATGTATGCATAATTACCAAGAACAAGCATTGACTTGGCTTTGTAGTTAGCAGTGAAAGAGTTGTTTTCTTCCACTTACCCAATATTTATAGATCACCTTCTAAAAGGGATATAGTGCCCAGGTCTCTAATTGCTCACACCTGTGGGAGATCGATTAGTAAATTAGCTATTACACACTTAAATTAGAGTTTAAACAGGGTCCTTTGGGGGAACATGGAAAGGGTCCCCAAACCTAGACTGGATAAGGGAGAGAGTTAGATGGGCTCAATGAAGAAAATGAGGCCCTGGAGGAGACAGAGCCGTATTAGCCACTCTAAATTCAACAGGTACTCAAACAGAGGGTGCCTGGGGCAAAGAAGCAGCTGAAAAGGTGGTGAGAAGAACCAAAATACATGCTTTAGAGAAGTTGCCTCATGTAATCTTCACAACAACTCAAAGGATTGAGACAATTTTTACTGTTGAGACTACTGAAGCATTGAGTTGGGTTGTTTGTTTGTTTGTTATGAGAACACTAGAGTTTATTAAGCTGTGCCTTAGTACCGGCACTGGGGCTTGCCCAAGATGCTCTTGAAGTATAAAGCTCAGATGTTCTATTTTTCTTGAGCAATGGTATGCAGAAATCATCTGTCATCTTCATGTGGCCAATGGCTACTGCCAGACACAGCACCTTCTTCATCTGGAATTCAATTGTAGACTTCACTTCACCCACTTTAGCCACCATGTTCTCACTGCGGGTCAGAAAGGAAGGGAACTTGCCAGCCTTATTCAGGCTTGGGCCCAGAATTCATGGGATCTGCTCGATCAGAGATTCTGAAGCCATAAAGACATCATATTTCTTGACTAATTTTTACTTTTGGTGCGTCTTCAGTGCCTCAATGCCCATATGGGAAATATCCACAGCCTTGGCCTCATCACAGTACTGCTGGTTCCCTAAATCACACATGGAGAATTTGCAGCAGGGCTTGACTTAAGCCTGATGGTGTCTGAGAAGCATTTGTCCGAGAGGCGCAGCTCTGCAGTCTCCAAAAACTTCCAGTGCTTATGCTGGTTGCCATTCAGGACTTCCCACATCTCTTGATAAGCGGTGTTGCAGGAGACTTCATTGTTCATGCTGCCATGTGTTGCAGTAACTGGAAAAGCTGAAGCATTGAGATTTTAAGTTATTTATTCATGATTATCCATTCAGTCAGCAGAGCAGCCAGCATTATCATCCCTGAGTCCATGTTCTTAATTACTAGGATGGTGGTTCTCAATCTACCAGCCCACTGGTTATTGCTGGGAAGTTAATTTTAATTTTAATTTATTTATTTATGATAGACACAGAGAGAGAGAGAGAGAGAGAGAGAGAGAGAGAGAGAGGCAGAGACACAGGCAGAGGGAGAAGCAGGCTCCATGCACTGGGAGCCCGACGTGGGATTCGATCCCGGGTCTCCAGGATCACGCCCTGGGCCAAAGGCAGGCGCTAAACCGCTGTGCCACCCAGGGATCCCCGGAAGTTAATTTTAAAAATGAAACAATACCAAACCAATGCCCAGGCCCCAGTTCAGGGTCTATAAATTGGTACCAGTGGAGCAAGCGTTTTCATGAAAATGAAACCCTTCCTCTCGGGTTGACTACAGTTTGCAGAGAGGCTTGCAAACATAGATTTTGAAATAGAGGCAGTTTGCAAGCTGAGCCTATGCAATCAACCATTATTCAGCCTCTCAATGAGTATAGGGAATGACTGGAGAACACATAAGCAAGGAGCAGAGCAGGGCCTGGAATTCAGGCCCTGATTCCCAGCTCACCACAGCTCCCTATTATAAGGTGCTCCAGGAGTTGTCTCTAAGGGATAAGAACAGCACTGTGAGTTGTGCATGTTTCTTCGGGCACATACTCGGCATGAACGCAGTCTTCCAGCTTAGACTTGTCTGATCAGGTTTATCAAGCAACAAGAATCACTAATCATCCAAGGGACTTATGAATTCAGAACATAAATATAAAGCAATTCATGTTAAATAGGCATTTAAACACTCGTCATCCCACAGAAATCTTTTTAGAAAAATATTTTGTAAAGAGTAAAAGTCTGATTCTGTTCCTTTCTTGGTTAAAACATGTGCATGGCCGCCCAGTGCCTTTAGTATAAAGTCTAGATTCTTAGGAAGCCACCCATAGAGGAATCTTCTATGTGTGTTCTCCCTTGTAAACTCCAGCTATGTAAATCACTTGATCTCACAGGAAAGCTTCCAGGATTTTATATGTGAAGAGAGGATTTACAAAAATGAGCTATGGGTAGTAGTTTGCCCACCTGAGTCCTAGATCCTCTTGGCTTTTTACACTCAACTTCATGTCCCCTGCTCTAGGATACCTTTTAACAGGCTTTACTATAGCCATATCAACTCCTAAAACCCACTTTGCCAGTCTAATGGAAGCAGAATGTTTGGGCCAAGAGCCTAGGCTATAGAATTAGGCTGCGAAACTTCAATCAAGATTCTGCTGCTTACTGGCAGGGTAAACTTTACATGTTAATTAACCTCTTGATGCTTCTATTTCTTCATCTGTAAAATGAAGATAGAAGTAGAGTTATTATGAGGAATGAGTTAATGCATCCAAGTGTTAGAAAGTCAGTGTAGTTCATAAGCACTCAACAAATGTTAGCTGCTATTACCTTGCTGTCACCATGAAATAAATATAGAAGCCACACATAAGCTATAGTTTGCTTCTAAGCATATTTATTTTAGGTCCGTAATTATCAATAGGTGTATATCACCCTTTGATCATTCTGTAAAAAGTGGGTGGTTTCAGCATTCTATCCAATCTGATTGAGATAAAGAACAAGAAATATTTATATTGTTTGTTCCTTTCCATTTTCAGAAAATTTAATACAGCCTCACTGAGCTGAAGGTCCCCCTACCTTAACGTCTATTGGAAAGCTACACCAACAACAAACAGGTATTGAATAACTCCTCCCTGCCAATACCTATATTTGGCAATAAGCACACTGAGAACTTGATGTAGTCCCTACTACATAGAAACCTGCAACTGAGTGGGAGACACAGAGCAGAAACACCAGTGAACTCAAAGACAGGTCAGCAGAAATGATCAAAATTGAAGCTCATGAAAATCATATGCATTCTATTTATTTCATGGTGTTTTCTGAAAATGTTAATAGTATTGTTCAGGTCTTTTGTATTCTTACTGAACAAGTCTGCTTGTTCTATCAGTTACTGAGAAGTGTGCTGAAATCTCCATACAAAATTGTGGTTTCTCCATTTCTTCTTTCGGTTTTGTCCAGTTTTCTTCATGTAGTTTGAAGCTATGATATATTGTGAATACATATTTAGGATTGTTATGTCTACTTGGTGAACTGATACCTTGGTGTAAATGTCCCTCTTTATTCCTGGTAATAGTCCTTGGTCTGAAGTCTACTTTGATATTACTACAGCCATTCCAGTTTTCTTTTGATTGGTATTTCCATGGCATACCTTTTTTTGGGGGTAATTCCTTTAACTTTTAACCTATCTATGTCTTTATATGTAAGGTAGGCTATTTAAAACATTATATACCTGGTTCTTGTTTTTTATCCAATTTTATAATCTCTTTAATTAATGTATTTAGGCCATTAGCATTTAATGTAATTTTTTATATGGTTGGATTTAAGTCTACCATTTTTTCCGCATTTTTCCCCCCGATTTTCTTCTTCAGTTACCCATTTTCTCCCTTCTTTGGGGTTATTGGAAAAAAAAAAAAGATTTTAGGATTCCAATCATTTTATCTATTAACCTCTGGCTATAGCTCTTGGGATCTTTTTCCTTTAGGGTTGCACTATACACATCTAGTCTTTCACAGTGCACTTAGTTTTACTGTTTTACCACTTCCAGTAAACTGCAAAACCCTTATCATCAAGTATTTCCCTTAACCCTCCCCCTGGATGTAATAGTTATATTACTCTATATACCACACTCTAGCCAAAGAAAGTTCTAATTTTCACTTTAAACAGTCATGTAGATTTTTAAAAGGAGAAAAATGGTATTTTATATTTATCAAAAAACTTATATTTCTGTTACTCTTTCTTCAATGTCTTAAGTTCCTAGTTTCCATTTGGTATCATTTCTATTCAGCCTAAAGAACCTCTTTTAGCACTTCTTTTTTTTACCACAGATGTGACATTTTCCCCTTCATTTGCAGAAGAAACTTTCACTGTATATATAATTTTGAGATGGCAATTCCTTTACTTAAGTACTTTAAAGATGTTGTTCCATCTTCTAGCCTCCATAATTTTTCCTGAGAAATCTGTAGATATTTGAATCATCATTCTGTCACATATAATGTACTATTTTCTCTAGCTGTAGTCAAGAATTTTTACCTGTACCTTTCAGAACTTTATGATGTATCCAGAAGTGATTCTGAGCTTCTTGTATTTGGTATTCACCAAGCTTCCTGAATCTGTAAATGTATGTATCTCACCAAATTTGGGGAGTTTTCAGCCAGTATTTCCACACAAATATTCCTCTCCTCCTCTCCTGAGACTCTAATGACATGATTATGAGAATTGATATTGTCCCACAAGGCTCTAATTCTTT